GGTCATTGCAAGACCCCTGGCACGGCTCTACGAGCACTCGTGGTGCTCTGGTGTGGTGCCAGAGGACTGGAAAAGGGCCAACGTGGTTCCCATTTTCAAAAAAGGGAGGAAGGAGGACCCAGGAAACTATAGGCCAGTCAGTCTTGACTCAATCCTGGGTAAGGTTTTTGAGAGATTTAGTCAGATAGGTCACTAGTTGGCTGGAGGGCCGCACCCAGAGAGTGGTGGTGGACGGGTCTTATTCAACCTGGAAGGACGTGGGCAGTGGGGTTCCGCAGGGCTCCGTCCTCGGGCCTGCACTGTTCAACATCTTCATCAGTGACTTGGACGAGGGGGTGAAAAACACCATTTAAATTTGCTGATGACATTAAGATGTGGAGGGACGCGGGCACTCTAAAAGGAAGTAATAGGCTACAATCGGACTTAGACCGGTTACAAGGGTGGTCGGATGAGAACAGGATGGGATTCAACACTGACAAGTGCAAAGTGATGCACCTGGGGAGGAACAACCAGCACCATACCTACATGTTGGGGAACTCCCTTCTTGTCAGTACAGAGGCAGAAAAGTTGTCAATGACAACTCCAAGATGAACATGGGCCGGCGGTGTGGGGATGCAGTCAGGAAGGCCAGCCGCACCTTGTCATGCATTCACAGGTGCATCTCAAGCAGGTCCAAGGAGGTGATCCTCCCCCTCTATGCGGCAACTGGTCAGGCCGCAGCTGGAGTACTGCGTCCTACCCTGGGGGTCTTTAAGAAGAGGCTGGATGAACACCTTGCCAGGGTCATTTGACCCCAGTACTCTTTCCTGCCCATGGCAGGGGGTCAGACTTCATGATCTGCTCAGGTCCCTTCCAACCCTACCTACTATGAATTAGCTCTAGAGGCCAATAGCCCTGCTGCAGGCAGACAGTAGTGCATTGTCAGCTTGCCTATTTATGCAGTATTAAAACCTCATGCAATAAAGATAGCTTCTCTCAGCACAGTCTCTCAGTTTTAAGACTAGTTCCCTAGCTGCACAAGAGGAGTAAATATACATCATCCTGTACCTGAAAGGGGTGGGATGCAGTAGTAGCTTCACTGTATATTGCAATGAGATCTTGCATCCTCTGCACAAGGGAACTGAACCTAGTGCTGACAGCTTGGCCCAACTGCCATACATTTGTTATGTGCACACTCTCATTTGTGTCTGAACATGCTGCCAGTATTTGGCTAATTGTTCTTTAAACAAGCTACTTATGCATGACTTTTTAATCTAGATTCCCAACAACCCCCAAAGCGTGCACAGGGGAACCAAAACTGCTAAGAACTGTTGGGTCTTACTGACATAAACTATATTAAGTGAAGTTATTGGCTTGCAGGCATCATCTAGTCCGGAGGTATCCCATTAAACACCAAGCCAGGTGAAAAACGTGAGGGAACCAGATTTCTCCTAGTAAGGCTTAGGTTTTAAGGGACATTTTGCAGAGCCCACATAGAGGATTTCCCTTATGAGAAGCTAAGCTTACAGCCTTTTCATGAGATCTTTTATACACAAGCTAAAATCCTCAGACTCTCTCTAGAAACAAAACCTGAAAACAAGCAGTCTACCATTGCCATTTTTGTAGTAAGGGGGGGGAAAAAAAAAAAAAATAGATACTTTGGCTTTGTCCTGCAGAAAGGCTGCCCTTTAACTCGACTTTAGTCAGCAACCTGGCAAAAATTAATTTTCCCCATTTGGGTCATCTACACAGCCTTGAAAAGGACTCAGTTTAAGAGAAGACTAGTTCAGCTGTACCTAGCTAAAAAATTTACCCTTTGCAGATTATTAATTTAGAGGGTCTCTGAGGGGTGCTCTGTGCACTAGTCTTCAAGGCTGGGCTCATCAGGGTATGACAGAAAGGTAGTTTGGTCTCAGCTGTGGGCACTGCCTCTTCATCTATAGTGCAAGCTTTTCACACTGGAAAGGTACTATGAACTCCTGTGCTCCAAACTGCCTAAGCATGACTTAAAGGCAGGACAGTTCTTGGGTGTGAAGCCTGTCTGAATGAGACTAACCCTTCCAGACCACTACACACTCCAAAGGGAGGTACTCAACAGCATGATTTTATGCCCATTGAGAGGGCATAGGGCTACAGTCAGCCCTTTGCTACCTCTACTGGTCAGCTGAAGACTGCAAAAGGGTAACCTGATGGCAATGTGCAAGCTTTCACAGCCTCTTGTACAGAAGTGCAAGACAATGGCTAGGGTAAGACTGGGTTGTGGTGGCAAGTCTGCCACGAGAAAAAAAAAAAAACACCCCAAGAAGCCATACACACACCCACTAAACTCCAGTAATGGCTGCAGAAAGGAGTAGAGCTTACAGTACCCAATATCAGACCTATGCCAAAAAAACAAAGGGGATAGAGTTGTCAACCTTGTAGTGCACACACACACACGAGTGATGGTTCCTCTAAACAGAAAATTGTCGGCAGAGATCTGACACAGTAGCTGAGCCTTTCTTGCTCTCTTAGCTTGGATATGCACGTGATGAGTGTAATCTAGAGAAGGCAAGGAAGCTACACACATACTATCATCAAGGAAAGATGCTTTGAAACTATACAATTAAAAAAAAAAGCAAGCCAGAACTGCCACCAGGGTGTGCAGTTCAGGGAAGATCAAGAAGCTATCCTGACCCAGCCCATGAGTGAAGGCCCCACAGTCTGTGAAAGCTGTTAAATACAAGAACCACTTCCGGCCTTGATGCACCAGTGTAGCCATGGCAGGTGACATACTATTGCCTCTGCTGACATTATTAACTTCAGTTACACTGTAGACAGCCTGAAGCCAGTTTCCAAGGGGAGTTGGCCATTTAGCGAGATACAACCACTCTGCAGCTTACTGACATTTTTATTGTTAGTAAAAGTCCTTTCAGAGCAAACCTACAATGCAAGGGTTACTTGTCCACACTGCTGGGGGGAAAGAAAAGAGAGGGGGCCATTCACCAGGGTTGGCACCAACACCACAAGTGGGAGGGAATCAGTTGAGAGAACAAGAGAGACCCTCTTGTTCTTCCTCCTCCACACAACTATTCCTTCTTGTTGCCCCATTTGGCCATCTTGTTGTTGATGGGAGTCTTCATGAAGCGGTCAGAGCGCATGTAGGCTGCAATCTTCTCCAAGGCCTGGAGGGAAGCAGAGAAAAGTCCTAAGAAAAGAGGCCACTCACAACCTGTTACCCAAGAGACCCTCCTACAACAGACTCATGCACAGCTTGAGCACATGAAGACCGGATGGAGCAGCATCTGCTCCAGGGACCTGGCCAGGAACAGCTCAATTAGTGCTTGGCTAGCAGGGCCCCAAGGAGGTGCAAGTCAAGCCTCATGGGGCATTCACTATTCAGCAAGTGAGCAAGGAAAGCTGGAGTAGGGTAGACATTGGCCATACAGTCCCTAGAGGAAGCTTTCAGCAGTACAAGGGCCAGCAGTATACCATCTCCTCAGGGCTAGGGAGTGACCAGGACATCCTTCTTTGTGGGACTGTTCAAACCTCACTCTGCTCATGACCAGCTTCCTTAAAAAACTACCCCTGCACTGGGAGGTCAAGCAGTCCTGGTCCAGATATCTGGATGAGACAAGCTTTTCAGTCTTACTCTTTTGCCATGGTGGCATATGGTAAACAGTCACTAGGAAGGCCTTTATTTCCCTGCCCGTCCTAGCTTCTGCTCAACGCTGCTATAGCAACCAGTGAGATATGCGCAATCCGTGAGCCAGACTTTAGGTAGAGACAGAGAGCACACTTACCCCAGGGAGCAAAAGCCCCAGTATACCAGACACAGTGGGACAGGTGGCAGCCAGAACAGGCAGAGAGCCATCCAACCCGCCAGGCAGGTGGGTGGACTAAAAGCTGTAGAGCTGGGCAGAGAGGCCACAGCTGCAAAGCCCCCCAAAGCATGGGCCAAGGGCAGTTGCCCCAATTTGCCCCCTGCTAGGAATGGCCCTGGGTGGAGAAGAGCTCTGAAGTAGGTCTTCAGAATTCAAGTGCTAGTGATAGAAGCCCTCATGGCATACCACCAGCTAGGAGTGTCTTGTCCCAGCAGACAGGAACTGGAAGTCTCTCCAAAATCTGGAGTGAGAGAAACCAAGAATACCAAGCAAGGGAGCTCAAGATTCTGACTCCTGTTTTGACAGCCATTATCCAATTCCTCCAATAGGCCAGGAAAAAAAAAAAAGCATACTGGAGACTTGGTCAAGTTTGAAGGGAGTTGATCTCTGGACAAGATGCAGCTACTGCTAAGCAGGATGCACTGCATTTAGACATGGCAGAGGGCAGTTCGGCTGCTTCAGTATGGTCTCTTCCCTACTCATGCCCAAGGAGAAGCAACCAGACACCACCTGTCATTCAGAAGTGCCTGCTGAAGCATCCAGAGACTACTCAGTCACAGGAACTCAAGGCTTGTCTTTTGCCATGGAGACCAGCAAGGTTGTTACCACTTACACACAAGGCTATACCAGACGGTCCTTAGCAATCCTATACACTACAGCCAACTGGAAAAATAAAAAGGTCACCCCAGGCCAAGCTCACCTCAAAGCGATCAAGAAAGTCCTTCAGGTTCTTAAGCTGATCCAGACACTTGGGCTCAAACATGCGGTTTTGGTCCAGAACATCATACATAAGGAAGTCCACAAAGGTGATCTGGGAAGGAAGACAGACATGTCATAAAGCAGTGTTTTGCTTTCCCACTCCTCATACCATCTCCCAATGCCTGTATTAACACACAGTACCTTCTCCCCAGCAAACCACTTCTTGTCACCCAGGAACTGGGAGAACAGCTTCAGTTTCCCAGGCAGCTGCTCTAAGTACCCAGGCTTCAGTTTCTCCTGCAGAGGGAGATGTAGAAAAAGCTTTAAGAGAGACTGTTGTGGATTAAATCCACATAACCTTTGCCCCATGATGAGCAAAAGCCACTTGGCATTTGATTCAAGTACAAATCAGGTGCATCAGGGCAAGGAAAGAGTTGACTGAATATACAGTAAACCAAGCTGTTAGGTTCCCCCCCGAGGAGCTAGAAGCAGAATACCAAGTAACTGTATTGGATTAATTATGAAAGTCTACAATAGTGTTGTATTGGAACTATACACATCCCACAACCCTTCAGGACCCTCCCCTTGCAAAACAAACAAGAAACCAGTGAACTCACAAAGTCAGGATTGTAGCAGACCATCACAAGGCTCATACGAAAGTCCATGACTTGGTTCTCCAGCATGTCCACCCTCACCTTCTCTTCCTCCGTCTCACCACCTGGGAGCCAGGACAAAGGAGAGAGAAGGCCCATAAACAGGGTTCCACCAACCATCCAGCCCCAGCCTAGCACCACTCACACATGTCATGCTTGCGGGCAATGTAGCGGAGGATAGCGTTGCTCTGGGTCAGCTTGGTCTTGCCATCGATGAGGTACGGCAGCTGAAAGGGCAGTTAAAGGATGATCAACAAGAGCTCCTCCTACTCCAGTTCCCACCTGCCTCAGCCATTCCCTTTACATGCAGCCTTTGCTTATGCAGAACATCCCCATTCTGAGCCTGGGTCTTTGCCCAGCATAAACTCAGAGACCACAACCCAGGAGGATCCACCCGTCACCTCCTGCCCCTAGCAAAGCTACATACATTTGGGAAGTCCAGTCCCAGCTTCTCCTTCTCGTTGATCCACTGGCTTTTATCATAGTCGGGAGCTGGAAGAAGGAGACCACCCACTCATTCTTATTCCTCCATATTGCACTATAAAGCAACACCTTCCTACCCCAGTCTCTTCTTGGTGCTGAGCAAGTTTGGCTCACTGAAGCTAAAGGAAAGTAGAGGTACCTGGCACTTTCAAGAGCCAAACTATTGACTTCAGCTACTCTGACCTACAAAAATGCTCCTAGTTCTAGAAGGCCAGGTCATGATAGAGCTAGAGTGCCATGGGAGTTACATTTTTGTCTACAGAGCATGCAACATCTCCAGTATTGGATGGAGTTTAAATGCAAGCTATGCAGACATTTGTCTGGTTTTAGATGGAGATAATCCTGCCTTGAGGAAGAGGCTGGACTAAACATCCTTATAAGGTCTGTTCCAGTTTAAGGCAGAAAGAACTCCCAAGTCTGAATCCCTCCTGGCCAGCTCTTGGCCATCTTTCATGGGCAAGCCCTCCCCACCCCCAGATCTCTATGCCATGGAGACACAAGATGCACTGGTCTAAAAATTAAGATGCCACTTCTAAGACCCAACTAAAGTGATGCAAGAAGTTGAGTGCATCTCAACTACTGCTCAAGATGAATGCATTTCAGCTTCTAGAAAGCTTGTGAGCAAGAACCCATACTGCCTCCTGGGCTAAAGGTAGCCCGATCAAAACTGACTCAAAAAAGGAAGCCATGCTAGACCTTGGCTTTTATGCCAGATCTGGCATTTCCAGATGCACCATAACTTGGGGACTCAGCCAAGTAACTTTACCAGTTACAGCCTGGTGTAGCTCAGCCTCAGTCAATTAGTAATCAGTTAGCTCAATTTACAAGTCTGAAAACTGATCTGCAAGAGGCTAGGGAGATGCAATCAATACGGCAGTAGCTGGATAGTTCAGGATACAGAAGTCCTACAAGGAATGAAGAGGAAGGCATCCTGCCAGTCTCTGAAGCTGAAACCACAGCACCCCACAGAGCTTCTGGCTCCCTGCTGGCAGCCTATGCCCCTCCAAGCCCCGCAGCACTTACCTTCCCCACAACTGTACAGCTTGTCTTCATACACCGTGCCAGTATATTCAAGCAGCAGCCTGATGGCATGGGCAAGCTGCAGAGAGAAGGCCACAGCAGTGCGAGTTGATAACACATCTAGCAATCCCCAAGTCAGAAGGTTTACTGAACAAGTCCCATCCTGTCCCCAGGTCTGGAAATCCCACTCTCAGCACAAGCAACGGGTCTGCTAAATGTCTGACTGCTCTTCCAAAAGCAAAGTGCACAAGTTCAGAGCAGGTAGGCTATGAAGAAGCACTTACAGCAGGGCCCCAGCACAGGGGGCAATGTCCATCACCTACGGGGTCTGTGTTTCAGAAGCAAAATAGTGTGTCAGGAGCGCGAGCGGGGGGTGTGCCCTGCAGAAGCAGAAGCAGCACATGGATCTGCACCTCACTCCAGCCATTCAAACACTTCGCTACCAGGCCTTGCAGCTCTTCCCTCAAGTGCCCGGGACAGCCAGGCCCGCACAGAAGGCAGCTCATAGCCTTTGCTACCCCATTACCCTTACTTTCCACACACAGGAGTGGGGAACGAAGGGGAAGCAGCGGCCAGATGAGCTCAGGGCGGGATCTGCGGAGTCTCAGAGGTCCCACGAAGCTCGGGCTCCCGAGGCGAGAGGCCCGTGCCAAACATGCGGCGGGCCCCAAGGCGCGAGGCGGCCTTCCCGCCATAACGCGCATGCGCGGCAGGACTGCGGGACCAGATCCCGGCATGCCTCCCGCCAGCGCGCGCGCTCGGGCTGCACGGGGCTCGCAGCCCCGGGGGGTCACGTGGCCTCACGCTCAAGTAGCGAGTGGCGAGAACCAGCCGCCACGGCGTCGCACACAACGGCGCGGTTTGTTCCTCGGTTTACGACGCCATTAACTGCAGCAAGGAAGACGCGAGTCGCTGCTTAAGAGTCGTAGCCAAGAGAAGGGCCCGGGTGTCTCCCCACGGCCCCGCCCCCGAGGGCTCCCCCGCTCACCCCGCGGATGTCCCAGTAGCCAAGCACCGCCGCCATCGCGCTCGCCGCTCCGGCAGCTGGACTGCAGCTCCGGCCCTTTATCCGCGGCGGGGGGGCGGGGCTCGGGGCTGATTTGCTGCGGGTCTGACGCAGCGCCTGGCAGACCACGCCCCGCCCCGCCCGCGGGGGGTCCCGGAGCCTCGGGTCCTCATGGCCGCTAGGGAGCTCCACAGCGCACCGGCCCCCCCCTCCCCCCGCGCCAGGGCCAGGAAGGCAGCTACGGTCGAAGGATCCCAGCAAGATGGCATAGATACCGTATGGACCCGAATTGTTCAACATCTTCATCAATGATGTGGACACGAGTCAGGAGCGGGCTGGCCAAGGTCGCCGATGACGCCAAACTTTGGGGCAAAGCATCCACGCCAGAAGACAGGCAGGTGATCCAGGCTGACCTGGACAGGCTCAGCAAATGGGCGGATGAGGACCTGATGGTGTTTAACACAACAAATGCAAGGTTCTCCACCTTGGGAAGAAAAACCTGCAGCATCCTTATAGGCTCGGCAGTGCTACGCTGGCTAGCAGTACAGACGAAAGAGACTCGGGGGTCATCATTGGCCACAAGATGAGCATGAGCCTGCAATGCGATGCTGCGGCTAGTAAAGCGACCAAAACGCTGGCTTGCATCCATAGATGCTTCTCAAGCAAATCCCGGGACGTCATTCTCCCCTTGTACTCAGCATTGGTGAGGCTGCAGCTGGAGTACTGTGTGCAGTTTTGGGCTCCGTAATTCAAAAAGGATGTGGAGAAGCTTAAGAGAGTCCAGAGAAGAGCCACACGCACGATCAGAGGTCAGGAAAACAGACCTTACGACGACGGGCTGAGAGCCATGGGGCTCTTTAGCCTGGAAAAGCGCAGGGGCTCAGGGGTGATCTGGTGGCCACCTATAAGTTTATCAGAGGTCACCACCAGGATCTGGGGGAACATTTGTTCACCAGAGCGCCCCAGGGGATGACAGATGTCGAACGGTCATAAACTACTGCAAGACCGTTTCAGGCTGGACATAAGTAAGAATTTCTTTACTGTCCGAGCCCCCAAGGTCTGGAACAGCCTGCCATCAGAGGTCGTTCAAGCACCTCCATTGAACACCTTCAAGAGCAAATTGGATGCTTATCTTGCTGGGATCCTATGACCCCAGCTGACTTCCTGCCCTTCGGGCAGGGGGCTGGACTCGATCTTCCGAGGTCCCTTCCAGCCCGAATGTCTATGAAATCTAAGATACATATAGATCTATTTGTATCCAAGACCAAATTACCCCAAACTAATTCCACATCCAAGAGTCCAGAACCAGAAGTGGCAAACATCCTCCACCTGCACCTGGGGCATCAGATGTTTCCAATTTTATTTTATTTTTTATTTTTAAAGAAGTGTTTCCTGTTCCAAGCCAAATCCAGTCCAAATCCGTGAGTCGGTCCAGAACCAGACGTAGCCCTGCTACTGGCAAACATCCTCCACCCCCACCAAGGGCTTCAGATATTTCCAACGTCTTTTGGCGGGCATCCTATGTGCAGGCCCAAGCCCGGAGTCTTGGGGTTTGGATGCCCCCGAGTTTCGTCTGCCCCCAGCCCTACGGCCGCAGGAGCAAGCTAGGGAGGAGCCTCCCATTTCCATAAAGTGGGCTTTAAGCCCTAACACCTCAGCAGGTGCTAAGCCACGCCAGAAGAACAGTTATCCCCGCGAACACTTAAGGAGAACTGCCTTCTTGGACCCAGATACATGGTGTTTCCCTTTCAGATGTTTCCAAAACCTTTCGCAGGCATCCTACTTGCAGGCCCAACCCCGGAGGTGTGGGGTTCGGATGCCCCTGAGTTTTGCTTGCTCTTAGCCATATGGCCCACAGAGCAAGCAAGGGAGGGGACTCCTGTTTCCAGAAAATGGGCTTAAAGCCACTGCACCTCGACAGGTACTGAACCAGCCAGGAGAGCAGTTCTCCTGTCAGGCGGTTCAGGAAAACTGCCTTCATGGACACAGATACACAGTATTTCCCCTGCCAGGTTAAGAAGCCGTTACACTTGATCTGAGCCTTCAAGAAGGATCCCAGCAAGGTAGGCATCCAAATCAGCATTCCCTCTAAGCTGCACGGCCATGGGAACGCCGATCCAAATGTTTCTTAAGTGTCCAGAGTAACCTGGGGGGGGGGGGG